TTTTGTATGTGACAGATGGCTGGTAATGGACACATTTTAACTAGAAAATCTACACTTGGGAATGGTGTATTTTGCACTATTTTACAGCAGATTATAGCCTCACACAAAACAAAGGAGTAATGAATATTGAGTTCAGTAGAGATGGGCAATATTTGTCAGATTAAATTTTTTCACCAAAAATGGGTATTTGGGTCGAACAAAACATCGCATGAAGTTCGTGTCAAATTTGCCAGATTGTTTTGGTCGGAAAAGAAAACAAAAAACCCCAAACAAATGGAACATGTTTCAAAACAAAACATTTTGATTTGGATTCAAAACAATTTTGTTCTGAATTTTGCTTCAGTTTTATTTCAAAAGGTAAAAACTCCAACAGAACAAAGTGTAGTTTGACCTTGATCTGAAAGATTGTGGCCCCCAAGCTGAAAAATCTGCTATTTTGCACAGTTCTAGGTGAGACCTCTGTGCACATGCTAATGACTATTTTATAACTCAAAGCGCTTTGTGAGGTTAATCTGGTCCCTCATAATTGGAGCACTTTGTATTGTGTTTTTTTAAAGTACTCCGAGAGGGAAAGATCACTGCAGTGAAAAGAGCTAGGCTATTTTACAATGAAGGAACAAGCCTCTGTTATGAACATATTCTCTGTGATGATATAAAATTCCTCACCAGTATAACAAAGCATGCATACTTGAATTGCAATATGAAATCTGCTGTACAGTGAGATGGAGGAAGCATTTGGCATTGTGGATTCAAAGGCGATTGGTCCACCTCCACATTTGAGTGTCAGGATTGTGTGTCTGCCATCAGCAATCCCCCCACCACCACCATCACCACCGATATGTGTTTTGTACCGCTACCTCATTGATAGGCCTAGGTAACAACCACTAAGATGGAGTTAAGACGGTTGAGAGCAGCGGTCATGTACTCCTTGTACACAGTAGGTTGCAGGGCTGCTACTAGCGGGTCAGACGCCTGTACAAGATATGGACTGGCTATAGCACTTTCACCGTGGAGAGAGATACCAGAGATGTGTTCTCTTAACTATACAATGCACTGCCAGGTCTGGCTGTTCCCAGCTCAGGAAAGGTATGTTACGCATGAGACCACCTAGTGGCTGAACATTATAATATCGTGTAAGCATTTCATCGCTGTAGAGCTCAGAAATTCAGAGGAGAATACGCTATAGGGATGTTGTACGTGTTCCCATACAGATCATCAAAACCAGAAAAGACAGTTACCGTTAAACTTAAATGACATCCAACAATGTTAATGCATAGAAATGCAGAGTTAAGACCCCTTAATTCTGCATCCTGAAGTGAAACCTTGCGGAGGGGGAAACTTTTAGCTTTCAAAAGAAATTATCCAATCAGGGGCCCCAAGCACTACACTACCTTAATCAAGGTAGGTATTTGCCATGGTTTCTGCTGAAGGAGAATTTAAGTTAAGAATAGGGGGGGAACTGACACTCAAAATACTCAAGTGTAGCTCACGCCCAAGAGTTCAGTGAGTTAACTCCATGGGACGTTAGAAGAGTCTAACAGGGCAAAATTAAAGTTGAGTGGTTGTCCTAACTATGCACTTCCATACCTTAAAATACTCCTGCCTCTTCCTTCTTGCCATACACCTGTGTGTGCGTACAACCCAAATCCCTCTCCCTCCTGCACCTCTAGCTATACATACTTACACCCGAATACCCCGCTCCTGCCTGTATAACCACTTGAGGAGCTTTGGTGCAATGAGAAGCTTTTGAAAAGGTATTTAATGATAAGTTGCCATTATTTTCCATAACTGAAAGTTTGTCATGAAGAAAGGCCCACTTTCCGAATGGCCATTCATTGTTCTCAGCATGAGCAAAGCAACATCTGCCTGGAGGGAGGTGGGGGAGAGGTGGCAGGTTGGCAAGTCCATGATGATGAAATGGTAGCACTTGGAAAGAGGGCGGTTCACTCTCGTCTCTCTCAGCCTCTGCTGACCAAGAAATAGAATTCTAGGAGCTTGGCTCTAATCCACAGATGGAGCAGCTAACATTCCTCAGACGACTCTACTTCAATGGGCAAGTGTCTTTCAAATCCGTAGCTAAATGCCACTGCAGGCGTATAATGCCATAGGCTGGTTCAATGTTTATAGGAAGGCTGGCTTAGCCAGTGAATTCCATAGGGTGGTTTTTTCTTTATAAGTTCTGTAGTAATGAAACTATTATGATGTTCCCGTACGGATCCTTCACAGGCTCCCGCTCCTTGAAATTCTATCCTGAACTGTTACTCTAGTATTTCCTCCCTCCTATACACTGCTATGAGCTATACTGAATTTCCCCTCCCCCAGTGCTTCCTGGCTTATAGACATGGGGGATTCCAGGAGCACTGAGCATCCATAGCCCTGAATGGGAGTTGCAGGCGCTTAGCAGCTCTGAAAGCTCAGGCTTGGGGTTACCCTACTTCAAACATACTGGTGTAGCTTTTGCTTCATGGAAAATTTCAGCCCAAGTGGATAAAATCTAAAAGCACTGAAAACAGGCTATTATAATGGGCAGTGTCCAGCAACCTTCACCACAGGCATCGCTACCCACTCTTCCTATAATGCTTTTCATTATCTAGGCCCCTGCTGGGGAAGCCCTAAGCCCCCAGGATGGTGGCACCCTTATTCCTCCCTCCTCGGGGCTTCAGTGGCTCACCATAAGAACAGTGGGTCCGAGGTTCTTTGTGCACAGTGCCTTCACCTGTGACAGACAACCACTGTGATTTCTAGGACATCCCGGTTTATCGTGAGAGGATATCAAAGACAATAGAGAAGGATAAACAATGTTTGATTCTTGTAAAGGATGGGGATAAATTAAAAGACTAGAAAGGGAATTGGCTCCAGGATGTCAAATAACTGACCCATCCCATTGCACTCTGAAACATGCCCACTAACAATAATGCACAGGCTCCCCCCCTCCCACAGGCTTAGCTGGATGTGAAGGGTGGGTGTCCCTTGCTGGGACACTGACAGCCCTTGCTTCTGGCTGCAATGGGCCTCTGGTGCCCTCAAGTCCTGGCCCTTGGCATAGGGGGTCTGCAGGGCACAGCAGGTAGGCGGTTCTCGCTGATGCAGCGGAGTGTTGGGGCACAGTTGCTGTCATAGAGCTGGGAGATGTAAGTAATGCCAGGCACGCGGCTAAACACTCCGTACTCTCTCCCTGTTTGCTGAGGTCGTTCAGTGTTGGCGGGATTGTTTATCTGCTTAGCAGATTTGTTAATAAAGGGACTTGTGATAAATTGCAGTTGTTTCTCCAGTGCCCCTTGGGTCTCTTATTCTAATACCATTGGTAATAATTTTCCAGGTGCTGTAGCTGTTTAGGAGACTGAACTCTTACCAACCACTGGAGTCTAAGAAATTAATCAATACTCAATACACCAATTGGGCTACACCCAGGTCCTAATTATGTATGAGCCTTAAAGATCCCAGTTTTCCAGAAGGTGGCATATTGGTCCAAGGGTCTTCGCCAAAGGCCAACCTTCCTTTGGTTAAGACTTCAGCTTGTCTCATCAATTGAGATGGAGTCCTAAGTTGCCACAACTCATCCCTGATGCTACCTTAAAGGACAGAGAGGCGATTAGTAAGGCGTTAAATCATTCCACTGACTACTGCATTAGTCCAGTATGACCAGGCGGACTGCGTAAGTTTATTCAGAACACACGACAGTAGTTTACATACAGGTTACTAGTGTGTATCTAAATTATTTTCCGGTCGGGAGTATCTATGCATTTCCTACTCCGGTTTAGGTTCTGCCCATGGCTTTAAACATGAGCTTTAGCAATCTTTCTCCCCTTCCTGACAATGGAAGACTCTCTTTGGAGGGCAGTGAACAGACTGTGCTATCCTCAACTAGCATACTTCTATTACAGCTAAATATCAGGGGCAATGCAGACTAGGGGCTTGGGGAGAACAAACCGCTTACCCTTTAGGGAGAGCTCACCACATTCCTGGTGCACTATCCACACTCAAGCTAGAAGAGCCTTTAACAGGAATTTATATGCTATTTGCAACCAAGCTTTTCCCCAATTGTTCCCAACTGCCAGCAAACTGCAAAGTCAGTCATTTGCCAAGCACTAGGCAGTGCCAGTGTCTTACCATGCACTTTGGTTTGGCTGCAATCTTATCCCAAGTAATTACTAGTCACAGAAAGATGCCCTTGCTACAGGGTTGCATGAGTCAGCATAACGTGGTGGTATATCAAGTCAGTGGGTTTAGCTTTCTTCACAGAAAACCACTAACATCTGAGGATCAGTCATGTCCCATGGAAAGGGAATTGTGTGACTGAGAAATGCCTTTTCAGGTCCCCCCCATCTTCCTAAGAGGAACGGTCTACTACCCATTACGTCTCTGACTCTCTGCACAGACAAAAGCAACTCCTGGGCCCAGATGATGAGACAGGAAGGTGGAGGACGGTGGTGGGAAGAATTTTGATACCTACTGTTAGGACTAGTAGCCAGGAGCTTGGATCAAGCAGCTGCACAGGGCTTTGATGAGGCTGAGCTTGTTCAACCCTTAAGAGGAACCAGGGATTCAGTATTCTGAGCTTTTAGAAAGCCAGCCTCTTGTGTGATCCCATAGTGTGTTAGTTTGAATTTGTTTGACGCCAGTTGTCTGACTAGAAACAGCCATCACAATGGGACCCCAACCCCAACTGGGGCATTTCAGCACTAATAGTTACTAGCAGTAAATGTATTAACTTGGAATGAGAGGATCACACTTTATCAATCTCACATCCGCCTTCTTGTCCCACCAGGCTTTGTTACTTAAAAATTAAAATATGAGGCTAGGTTAAATGAGACAGGCAGTAGATAGCAGTAGAGGTTTTTTTAAAAACATATCACATTAACGTTATTCCTTTAAAAATTGCACTCGGGTTACAAAAAAACAACATTTTAACATGTTTTTCAGGAAAAAAACATTGGTCCAAACTATTTGATTTTTAAGAGACTGACAACTTCAAGACCCAGAGATCTAGTTTCTGGTCTTAGATATCGAATCACAAGTGTAATTCCTTAGCAGGCACCTGCAAAAGGAAGGAAGGAAAGAAAAAAAGAAAGAAAACTTTAGTTCATTTTTTCCATTCCATGCAAATGAATTTGTAGTCATTGCAGTGTTCTAATCCTCAGTTCAGCTACAGCTGCAGAAATTTGGGGGTACTCATAAAACAGAGTTTAGGGTTAGTGCCCAAAACTCTCACTTGCACTGTCTGGATCCTGCTCTGTGCATGGCTCTACCACATAATGTGTTAGAGCAGTCCTTAGGCTGCTCTAAGTTACTTCAGCCATCACTAGCCACAAAGGGCCATAACCTCAGCCTAGTATATCGATTTAGCACCAGACGTCCTGCCCAGTAACCAGTGCCCCTTTCTCAGCCACAGCCAGCAATGAGAGTTTGTAGTAAGAAGCCTCTGGGTCAGCTCTTTGGGTGAACCTGGCTTACACTTCCCTGCTGTCCTGCTGCGTTGCCACAGCTTGTTTCTGTTTGTTCCTCGACTCACACCTGGGCAGTTTAACACTGTTACAAAGTTTGAACCTGCAGACTTTACCCAGGCAAAATTCCCGTTGACTTCAATAAGAGTTTTGCCTGAGTAAGGGCTGCAAGTCAAGATCAGGCCCAAAGATAGCACCTTACTTTGTGACTGAATGAGTCCTGTGACTGTCAGTTAATGAAGCATTGCATGCTGGGATCTGTACTCTCAATGAAGCACCTATTTTTAAGAGGGAGCTGGTTGGTCCCCCTATATTTAGGTTATCTAACACTTTCCATTTTAAGAGATTCTTGCACCCTTCTGACTGGAAAGCTTTCACCCACTTCATTGTGTGCAGCAGACCTTTGAAAAGCAGGAGGGGAATAGCCCTCTGGCTACTTAAGTGCCTTGTCTTCAACCCGTTCAGCATTTTGGGGAGATGAACTGCTCACCACCTTTCCCTCTCCTTTGGATTTTCAGGAAGAGTTTCTGACCGCAAGCCTGAATAACCCAACACAATATTCTGGAGAGCCAGGTCTGCCGCCCCCACGGCTCTGAGAAGGGCCAAGACCTGCCAGAGCAGGACTTTGTGGGGCTGGGAGGAGGGAAGTGCACAGAGCTGGGCTTCCTCCCCACTCAGCACATTGCCTCAGTAGCCCATGCACCACACATGGGTTAGTAAGTCCCACACCTCTGGTGGAGGTCGGGTAAGCAAGTAGGGTGACCAGACAGCAAAAATCGGGATGAGGGTGGGGGGTAATAGAAGCCTATATAAGAAAAAGACCCAAAAATCGGGACTGTCCCTATAAAATGGGGACATCCGGTCACCCTATAAGCAAGCCAGGAAGAAGTCCCCTACCAAGAAGTCCTCCAGCACATGGCATCAAAGGGCCAGTTCCCCCACCCCCCTGGGCACTATGTGGGGCTAGAATGTCCCCAGCTCAAAGGAAAGGTAACTACGCTAGGCTGCTCCCCAAGCACCCTCAAGATCCAGCACGTGACTCATTAACACACCCGGAGAAACAGCCATCTCCTCCTGCCAGCTAATGCAGTTGGAAGCGCAGCTCCAGTTAGAGCAGTCTGTGCTGAAGGTTCAGGCTTCAAACCCTGCTGGCGCCTCACGATGGGGAGAGGCTGTTAAGTACTGAAATCTGTTTTTCCCTTTTCCCTTTGTACAGGCAGGGAGTCGCAGCTCACTTAGAAGGACTTTATTTAGGTGTCCAAGTCAAACACTTGAAAGTTAGGAAATGCCAGACTTCCCGTTGCCCAGGCAACCTTAAATCTGCCCTTTTGTATGTATCCATTAGGATGGTCTAATGATGTGACATCCTGTTTTTCCACAGGATTATCAGCCTCATTACTGCATAGGATGGGGACGAGGGGCAGAATTAAGTTTGCACATCCACCCTAAATCTGGCATTTTTAACTTGTAAGTCTTTCACTTTGCAGCCACGCTCTTACTTAATATTGCATACAAAAATGCTGTCAAAAGAACTGTTAATTAGGTTGCAATGACTTTGTTGCGTTAGGAAATATGCAGCTGACTCTTACAGTAAGAGTCTGTTAGTATCTTAGTGTACCTGTCTGCAGCACTGGCTGGAACTGGCCAGACATGCAAATCTCTTCCTGCTTCTGACGCACAATGCGCTGGATGGCTGGTGGGAGCCCACGGGGGTTGCGTGAGAAGATAAGGGAGTATCCATCATCACAAGTGCCATCCTCTTTCAGGCTGCGGCAGGCATAAGTAATGGCATAGTTGTCATAATCGGTGTCAATCACCCAGTAGTTGTCCCCTGAAATATTAGAACAGCTCGTTAGTCATGGGCTGTAGGTAGCTACATAGGTGAAGATGTCTGAGCACTCCAATCGAGCGAACTCAGGCTTGACAAGAATCAGTGGTGGGAAGGTAAGTCAGCAAATTTCAAAGCGTGTGTGCGCGCATATGTGAGCGAGTGTGAAACAACTGGAACCGATTCCTAAGGGATGAAGGATTCTACCACCCAGAGTCCTGACATCTGGATGGAACGGCTTTCTGTGAGAAACGCTCCCGTTCAGCCATGAGTCGAGCTTGATGCAATCCACCCCAGGATTAGCTGTGGCACACAGGAGGTGAGACTAGATGATAATGATCCTTTCTGACCTTCAACTATAAAATCCCTTTTCAACTTCTACCTGGAATGGGAAAAATTTCAATGGTTTTCACCACCACACATTTTTTCTTGGCCCCTTTATGGACCTGCTCCACTGAAGTCTGTCCAAAACACCATTGGGAGCCAAACTGGGGCTTAGGGTAGAGAAGATTCACTGAAGCCTCATGAAACATCTTTTTGCACCAGAAGGTCACAGGCCTATTCTTGGACCATGGGGTAATTGAAAGAGCTTTGTTTGATGAAACACAGTTGAGCCTTCCTAATCTACACACCTTATTGTTCATGCCAAGGGTTTATTACAATACTATATGTTGTAATGAAGTTTTTTTCCTAGGTTTTCATTATCTTGGCTAGATATCAAGTATTAAAAACAAAACTAATTGTCTAAGTAATGGGCTTTTTTACAATTAGTATTTTTTTCTAAAGTATTTGGGTCCTGATTCTCCATGTTTAGCACACACAGAACTGATTTCAGTAGTAATTTTGTGTGAAAAAGGAATGCAGAATTGAGCCCTTAATTGATAACTCCTGAATCCAGTAATTCACTGTGGACTATGCAACTGAAATTAGTGAGGTTCTTCCATATGTTATGGAGACATTGGTTGATACTCTGTAGTTAAGAGGTTGAATCCCTGCTATAAGTGCAAAACTCACTTATGTATGAAAAGTATAGTGGAGTTGATCTAGTGTCTTCTCAAATTACAGCATTTACCAATGACCCAGAAAAATTATATATTTACTAGTACATCTGTTAGTTTAGCAATTCAAATTAAAAACGGGTCCTTTAGCACCCAGTGTCAGACTTTGCCTCTAATCTGATTAACAGACCAAACCAGCCTCTTTCATTAATCATAGAATATCAGGGTTGGAAGGGACTTCAGGAGGTCATCTAGTCCAACCCCCTGCTCAAAGCAGGACCAATCCCCAACTAAATCATCCAATTTTTTTGCCCCAGATCTCTAAATGGCCCCCTCAAGGATTGAACTCACAACTGTGGGTTTAGCAGGCCACTGCTCAAACCACTGAGCTATCCCTCCCCCCAAATTAATCCTAAAAGAGGAGTTTAAATGGAGACCAGGCACAAGATTTCAATGAGTTCAGATGAAATGGAGAGCTTGGTCATGTTTTCCCATTAGTCATAAAATCCTCTAGCTCAGCAGACGCCGAATGATACAATGATCCATTCCAGAATTCCATGAAGAACTGCCCTCTCTCCAAATGACTGCCATCACCCATTGTTCTCCAGGGGATTGAAGGCCCAGCTGCCCTCAGTTTGTGGCCATTTTGAGAAGGGTGCCATTGTAATACCCTCACTTCTACCATTTGACAGTATAGAAAAGTCAAAGTGTTTCATTTAAATTAGGAACAGCAGCAAGATGCAGCTACAGCCTGTGACACAAGTCAGCCTTTATCATGTACACAGGGCCTGAACCAGCAAGAATTCTAGTCCAAGAATTTGCATAAAAGTAGTAAAGATTTATAAGACTGCCCCATTAAAACAAATTAGTCCGAGAAGGGATTTGGTTTCTCCTTCTATGGATTAGGCCAGCTCTTGGAATTCTCTGTGCAATTCCACTAACTATTGATGTGGCAGCGGTGATTCTGTAATTAGCATGAGTTGAGTTTTGCACTTGAAGCAGAGGTTCAGCATCAAAGAACAAGTTATATCTTCCCCTAAATTACAGCACTTGGAAATTTTCTGGAAATTTACCAGTTAAAATGGGCCCTTTAAGAAATTTAAAATCCAGTGTCAGACTTTTTTGCCGCTAATAATCGCAGACTAGCCCATTTTAAAAAACTTTTCAGTTAAAACGTACTGGAATCTTGAGGATATAGAGTTATATTTATTTATTTTTAGATTCCATAGTAATTTTTTTCTGTTCTCAGTGAAAGTTTCTCCTAAAGCAGAGACTGAAGGGAACAATGGTAGGCACAGAGAATTCAGTGAAGAACTGCCCTCTGTCAAAATGGCTGCCATCTCCTCAGAGATGGTTGGCAGTTTTCCATTGACAGGAATTTGATGGAAAATGCAGTTCCTGCCAAATGGAAGTTTCCTGTGGGAAAATTTAGATTTTGCCAGAGTTTTGCAGTTTTCTAGTGGGAAAATCGAAACATTTAGTTCTTGGTTGATTTGAGCTGAATACAAACTTTTCCGTTTGTTGAACCAAGCTGTAATATTGGTTTCAAATCATCTTGACACTATGGCGTATCTGTGTAAAGTGCGGCGGTGCCTCATGGGAGTTGTTGTTAGAGTGATTCATGTCCCCCATTCCCTACGGGCTGGGGCTCACTGACTAATTACATCTCCCATGATGAACCAAGATCGCAATGAGAGCACGAGTCACCCAAACGACAACTTCCATGAGGCAATGTGACACCTTAGCTTAATGTTGAACTTGTTTGGAACCAAATGTAACATTTTAATATTTCCATATTGAAATTTCAGAACGTCACGTTCTGCAAGACATTCTAATACTTGGGCTTTTCACTCTAGTAGAGACAAAAACCAAATGCAAAATATCAATTTCCTGTGTGGTCGAAATTCTAATTTGTGCTCAGCTCTGCATGTCAATGAGACAGCGTCTCTGCCTTCTTACAGAATAGGGGGCACCATTTTCCTTTCAGGCAGCTATTGCTTCACTCATGTGGAGAACAATGGGAAATGGTGGCCGTTTTGAAAGGGGCAATTTGACAAATTTTGCAGTGATGACAAACGGAAAGTATTGCGATTAATCCTAAAAAAAAAAATCTCTACAAAAGGTACCTGTTGCACCAGAGCAATTCCATGGGTGCATCGGGTGGAGGGAAGGTGAAGGGAGGGAAATTAGAGTGTGTGTATAGGATAACAGAGAGAGTGGAGTGCAAGAGGTAACATTTTCAGTTTAAAAGGGCAAGGAGATTCCCAGATGAGCAACAAAAAATGTAGTTAAGGTTTAGTACTTATCACCAGTTTAGGGAAACTGCATTGCTGGGCTGTTATTATCTCCAAACCAAGTGTTATCAGCCCACAAAGTTAACACTCAAGAAAGAAATTCAAACGTTTTGGGGTATGGAAGTGCACAGTTAGGGCTCCCAAACAACCTTATCCCTGCCCGGTCATGACACCGCGAGGGGGAAATAATGAAGAAGAGTAAATGATCTAGAAAAAATAATCAGTTTAATCTGGGCCCACAACCACAGCTAAGGCTAAATAAGTTTGGTATAGTGTCACTACAGCACACGAGCATTTCTGCTGAACGAAAAACTTTCAATTATGGAGAGTAACAGAGAAAAAGGGACAATTAATCCTAGCAGAAAAGAAAAGAAACGTAACCTAGGTAGAAAATTAAGGGAGCTTTAACTCTATGGGAAGTTTGAAGGGTCTGTTGGAACAGTGCAGGGCGTCTGGATGCCCATGCAGTACAGATATGGAAATACACCTCTGGATTTCTTAACAATTCAACCTTATCTGAATTTCCTAAGTCAATAACCCTTGGTCTTGGGATAGTTACAATATCCCTGCAATTTAGTTTAACCTAAAGTAGTGATATGTCCTCTAGCCTTAACTCCATTTCATCCTGGGGTGTGTCTGGGAATATATCACAGGCAGACCAGCAGTAATGACTATATTAATGTTGCTTAACACTTTCTAGGTTTTTCGTTTTCCTAAGATGTTGCCCCTGTTTTTACAGCTTTGTTCTTCCATCCAGTATGTTTTGATGTAATTTATTTACCGGTGCACTAGGAAGATATTCCTTCAGCACTCACTAATGGGGAACCCTGTCCAGCCACCACAACTGCAGAGGGTCCTCGAGCAGGGGAAGGGATGTGGGAGGTGCATGCAGGAATTAGGCAAGTGTATACACCTGTCATGGCACAAAGAGTTCCTGGGGAGTGGGGCTTCAATCCTGAGGGCAGCTAAGGAATAACCATACAATTTTCCTCCCATCACCACCCGCCCAGCTGCTTTGGCCAGCTGCTAGTAGGAGGATATGGGGATAAGTGTCAAATCCCTCCCCCTCTGCACAGCTCAAGTTACCAGGCTGTGCATGGGGAAGGCCTGCAGAGGCTAACAGGAGCAAGCACACCTCCGACTCCTGAAAAACATCATTTCCCAAGTCCAGACAGCCCAGAACTGTATTGATACCCATCTACTTTACAGCTTTGTGCTGTGACTCACCTTTGTAAAATAATTGGTAATAGCTTGGTCCTTAAGGGAGTCTCTGGCTTGTTTCTGTTTGGGAGGTAGAGAGCTCTGGCTTCCCCATCATGTTTTGGGGAGAAGGGGTTGGTTAGGGTAGAGAAGCAATGGGGAGCAAGGATTTGCAGTGTTCTCCAAAGATCAGCCTCTGGAGTTGTCTCCCAAAGTAGATTCCACAGCCAGATCCCCCCGTTCAACATTGCTGGGTCCCCAGCTCTCACGCACTTCGCTCTAACCTGTGTGACCTGCAATGTCCCACATGAGTGCAACGGTCTGGGCAGCTCCTCCATTGAAACACGTAGGCCTCGACACCAACGAGCTCCAAGCCAACACAGCTAACCCCATGGGATGAAATTCACTCACCTCCACTGGACAAGTAGCTAGCCAGACCTTGGTAACGCATGTACATCTTCGCTGGAGTGGTGGGGTCTGGGACTGTGTACTGAGCAGCCATATCTGCACAGATCACCCAGAATCTGAAACAGGAGCAGAGAGACCGAGGATGAGACTCTACAGCGTGTATGTTTCAATGCACAAAATAACAGCCCTGTTCAGGACTCATACAGGTGCCTGACTTAATTCTGACAGACTTAGCAGGGCCATGGGCACTGTTCCCATTTCAAAATAGTTCATCGTTGAGTAAAAGCCACTCCACATCCTAGCACAGTGCTCCTTGCCCGGTCGCTACGCAGGAACGAGTCGTGGGCTGCACGGATTTCCAGAGTGGCGCTGGGAGTGCAGAGAGCTGATGGATCTGCTACCCACTTCCACACCACAGAGTAAGTTGTGTGCATCCAGAAACAGCAGGAAATGCATTCAGTGTATTGGAGTATGGCTCAGACAAAAATCAGACTCCCACTGCGCTACATGCCGCCCAGAAAAATAGGCGTGAGAGTCTCTGCTCCGCTCCTGCTGTTCCCACAGGATTCAAGCAGGCGGAGGACAAGGGAGAATGGCAGTGAGGAAAGGGCATGGTACAGGCTGCAGGCAGCTCTTAAAGGCTCTCGATCATTCAAAGGGATATCGCCGGTTGCTTGGTTTCCGTTGAGCGTCATAAGTAGTGTCTCTCGAGGAATTTGAGGGTGGGGAGGGTAGCAGCCATATGGACTAGTTTAAGGCAGGAATTCCCTATTTAAGGAGAGCCAGGAAAACAATGCCAGTGGGCTACGCGGAGGAATGGATTCCTGGACAGTGAAGGTGGGCATGGCTGGCAAAGCAGGCACCAGAGATGTGATCTCATAGGTAGACTGGGGCATTGAAAATGACCGGAAGCTGCATTTCGCCTCTGGCTCCCCATTTTCCACACTGAGCTCAGGTGGGGGGAGCCTTGGCCAGAGGGCGTGCTCTTGTCCGCTACACCTTGCAGAGCCTGGTGGGAGCAGGCTGTTGCCGTAGGTGGGGGAGGAGACAAGTTTCAGCCGTGTGGACAGTCAGATTCTGCAAGCTAGAGGGAAGAGCAGCAGGATGTGGGGTACGGGAGGAGGAGCTCGGAGGCCTGAGTCGCGCAGGAGGAGCAGGTCACCGGTAGCACACTCGTCTGGGACTAGCTCAGCATGCAGAGAGCGGCTCCAAGTCACAGCAGCCTCTCGGGAGGTCTGGCCTACCCTGGGAAAAGGGTAGCTAGCGTAGTGCTCTGAGGCCAAGCAGGGCCATACAACAGGGTTCACAATGCGTGGAGATGTGTCACTTGTACCCGCCCCCTGCAACCTTTGCAGAGGCCTTTCCCCCAGGTGTCACCTGAGCCCCAACGATCGACAAGGTGGGGAGGAACAGGTAGGTCCCTGTCAGGACAGACCCCTGGGCAGATGCCAAAGCTTTCATCCCACCACATCGCTCCTCTCAGTTGCCCTTCACATGTCCGTGCAGCTACCACAGGGTGTCCAAGTGGGAAGTGGAGGCCAACCAGGGCCAGGCCCGGGACCGGTAGTGGTCAGATGGGGAAAGCAGGCTAAAGAACTTGCAAGAGCAAGAGACTGGACAGCCAAGGCCCCAGAGCAGGTTCCAAGTCACATTCCCTGCAGTTTAGACCCAGGGCAGATACCTGCGCTTGACACTCCCCTCCTCTCCCTCCCCATACACACATTCTGAGCAGAAGAGGTGTTGGGGAGGGTAACTGTCCTCTGCCACCTACAACAGGTTGCAGCCTCCCTACTAAATGATCTCCCCTGGTTTTCCTTTCTGCCGTGCACCCATCCTTTTGTTAGCGGAGGTGCCACCTCAGCGGGGAGTGGGTTTTACTGCTCATTTGCTGAGGAATTGATGGCCACCACGCAAATGGCTGACTTGCACTAGCTTTTCCCATGGTTTGCTGCCAAGAACCCCCTGACTGAACTGTCCGGTGTCTGATCACAGGCAGGGAGAATTTGCTGCACCCTCACACTAGGATAGGAGTTCTCTGGCCCTAATCCGTCGTCCCACTGCTGGATTTACACTGGGATGAGTTGCATGCTCAAAGCCTACGTAATAAAAGGAGTGTAACTTCAGCCATGAAGCAGATACATTCATGGCAACAGATGATTTCCCGGTTTTCTTGAGAGGCTACCCACAATTTACAACTCTGAGTAGCTGAACGTGTTCCTTCCCACATGCATTATGTAGTACTTGTCTACTGAACTTCACCTGGCCTTTTTCTCAAATGTCCTGGAGTGCTGCCCATTCTTCTGTCTTGACAAACCTAAGGTTTGTGTCAGTGAGTTTTACCACCTCACAAGAACATAAGAACGGCTGTACTGGGTCAGACCAAAGGTCCATCCAGCCCAGTATCCTGTCTACCGACAGTGGCCAATGCCAGGTGCCCCAGAGGGAGTGAACCCAACAGGCAATGATCAAGTGATCTCTCTCCTGCCATCCATCTCCATCCTCTGACAGACAGAGGCTAGGGACACCATTCCTTACCCATCCTGGCTAATAGCCATTAATGGACTTAACCTCCATGAACCTCAGTGCACCCATCATCCATATTGTTAGCTAATGTTGAACAGCACTGGAGCTAGTATTTATCTATGGAAGGTCTTGAGGTTTTTTTCTTTCTACACCGAGAAAGCTATTTATTCCTACTCAGTTTAGTCTCTCAACCAAGCTGTAATGCCTTACAGTAGCCACAGGTGACGGGCAAAAATCTTAGATTTGTTTCCATCTGTCTATCCAGTGCCCGCCCATATTATCTGAGGGCTTTTTGAGTCTTCCACAGAAAACTAACCAGTGTCAGGTGGAAAAATCCACTAACATAAAACCCACTTGGCCCCTTCAACCACCAAATCTTTCAGGGAAATCTAACCAATTAGAAGCAGTTTGCCTTTCCAAAAGCTACATTGGTTTATTTGACATTACCCTCACCGGACTGCTTTGCCACTCTACATTTAATGATTTTCTTAGCCATGCGTCTCTGTAAAGAAGCTACGCCTGAGGTATAATTCTTAGGATCTCCGTTTGAATAAACAGGTTGAACGCTGTCAAACCTTCAATACAGTAATTGTTTTTAGTTTTTTTTTGTTAATAGCTCACTCTTTTGTTCATTAGGTTCCTTAAAACTCAGAAACTCCATCTGGACCTATTGACTTGTTACCATTATTGAAAACTTAGCTTTGCAAGTCCTGGGCCTCTGAACACAGACTGTCAGATACATGTTGATTTTGTGACAGGCACGAAAGAGACCAGGCTGGCTTTGAACTCATCGTCGCTGGTGGCCTAAATAGAAAATAAAGCCAGGACCCTAGAAGCAGAAGGTTTGACGTTTTAACGTACTGAGCTTTATTAGCTTTTCCTTCTTGAACAAGGTACCCAGGTCACATCATGTGCCTCAGATACGTTCCCAGTCACAAGGCGTACTAGTGCATTCAATCAGGCGCGCGAGTGGCGGATTCGCCAAGCACTTACCCAAAGAGCTTCACTCTGCCTTTGGAAGATGCAATCATTGTGCCATCCTCCTCGATGGTGTATTCAGCAGAGATGTTATCCTGAAGGAAGAGGCCTTCTGGGTCCTTCTTTGCTAGGGCATACCATTTCCCTGCATACTGAAAGGAAAATATCCCAATTAATTTTCATTGCATGGCATGAACATCAGGCATCTGTAACCACCCGTACTGCAGCAAGCTGGTGGCCAGAAAGCTTGTAGTTCAGTAGGTAGGTGCTATAAAACCCGGGGAAAGGCCTGTGCGTGCATTTGTTAGGGCTTGGCGGAATGGTTCCACTGTGCATTTGCACCTTTGACCTTGTGACAGGAGCTGGGTTGGTAGCCCTGGATGCTGAAGTCCCAGTCACCTACAGTGCAGCAGCGTAAGCTTCCCTACACTGCCCTGCTTACGTGTCTCAGCCATATCCCAGACGAACCCCGGCTGTAAATCAAACATTCTCTGTTCAGGCCTTGGCCTCTTTGCAACACGTGAACCGGTTAGAGCAAATTGCATGAGGGTTTGGGGGGCCACTTTGCCATTCATAAATTGGTGGGAACGACCATCTCTTTTCACAGTTTCACTAAATAACCATTAGATGGCGACACGTGTCACGACTGAAAGGGACTGCATTTGATCCTTTGCTGGAGGTCCGCACCCTTGTTAAAGTTCCTATGCAGAGAGGCAAAAAACATTACGCTTACTCATTAGAAACAGAGGAAAAGAGGCGAGTTTGGTGGGGGTGCTGGTGTTCGTACATTTGATTGAGAAAGAAGAAAATGCCCAGGAAAAGCATCCCTGAAGACCTAGCAGCGTATGTCTTGAAAAGGAAAGGGAAGCTAAGCCAGCATGGTCAGACCCACAAACAGTTAGCCGTAGAGGACTAACAGGAGTAATGCACAAGGCTGAACACAAACAGAAGGTGAACATCTGCCTACACTGTAACATCTTGCACCCCTGCTCTGGCGCTTACGAAAATTGGGACATATATTGGGGGTTTGTGTCTATAAAGGAACGTATGGAGTTAGGAGGCCAGGTGATCTAGGAAATCACATGCCTGTTAGAGACTGAAATGGAGGCTGTAACTCAGGAACAGATAAATCAGGGGGATGCTCAACCTTTAGTCAGAGCATGGGTTCCCCCCCAACCCTCCAGAGTTTATGTACATGTACACTTATAAGGCTTTGCATTGCCTCTCACTACCCAAGGTGGGAGTCTAGCAGTGAAGTGGGGAAGGAACAACTGCTCAGCCTTACTTGACCCTTCCATGGGCCACCAAAGGCCCCTTCTGGAAGAGGGTCTACCTAGGAGGGCTGCAAAGACGTTTTGGAGTAGGGGAGGGTGGATTAGTCAAGTTGTTTGATCCTGCCTTAATCTTTTGCTGTCCTAGGGAGCCAAAACATCAGAGTAATGACTGAAATGGAGAGCCATACAAACTGGAGCAGAGCAGGAACGTTATCGTCAAATGTAATAGTCTACAGCCTGGGGTACTTCTGTGACCCCGATGATTGTAGTGTCTGAGCACTTGCAATGCATTGATTCTCTCACCACTCCTAGGAGGTAGATTGAGGTAGATTTGGTGGGGGGTTGGGGGAGCCAGCACCAGACTGGGAAGGAGGGTCCCGGCAGTTCCAGGCCCCGTGGCAGCCACTCCAAGTTCTGCTCTCACCTCTGCCCTCCCTCCAGTTCTGCCACCCCTGCTATTATCCCCATTTTACAGATGGGGAAATGAGGCACAGAGGCTCAAGGTCACATAGGAAGTCTGTGGCAGAGCAGGGAAATTGCATCCTCCACCTCCAAAGTCCCAGGTTGGTGCCCTGGCCACGTCCAAACCCAGATTCTATTTGTTTCCTGTCCCAATGAATGGTTATCTGTAGGTGGTCCTATTTGCTACCATAATTCAGCCAGAGTCTCAGAACCAATCTTGAGCAGCTGATTGATGGCTGATGTCAATGGGGCTACTCTAAGGGCCAATTTATCTCCCTTTGATTCGCTGTGAGGCGGCTCCAGCTCCCAAGGGCCCCTCCTGAGTGAGGATTTGCAGCTCACTAGCGTGCTCTAGATTCAAAGGAGGCAAGTCTGCAATGCCATTAACTTGGGGGAAATGACTGTCCTGTGTATTTAGAGTCAGGATGAGCCACTAATGGCAGCACATTAGGAGTCGGAGCTTTTTGACCTCCAGCAATTCAGCAGATGTTTTTAGGTCAAACAAGTTTCCTTATGAGAGAAAATTAACCATCATTTTGGATTTTTTGGGCTGAGGTTCTTACTGAGCAGAAGGCAACGGGGGATTAATCTGGTGAGTTAACAGCAAACTACGGAAACAGTGTTTGAGAGAATATATTTTACCTCTAAAACGAAAAGGTTAATTTCCCAGCTCCTGTTGCATTGAATTAGTATATTATGCAAATTAAAGAAGTGATGTAAACTGTGTAGCTTCTACTGTTGCACTGTGCACAGCAGATGAAGCTGTGATAATTACCCTCTTTGGGTCGAAGTTGTCTTTCACAGAGAAAGAATCCACTGTACAACTTTGAGCCAGGCAGTGTTCAATACCGGAGAGGAGTGTTGCCAGGAAGACATACTGTGCATATTTCATTCTGGAAGACAAAAGCAAACATGAAGAGTTTCATACGGATGCAGATTCACAAATCTGAAGAAGGTTTTCGATCGAAGGCCAAAAACTAATCCAGATAGCATTTGAAATATACCAATTTCTGGGGGAGCATAGCCAATGGTCTTCTTTTAATTTAAACAGTTGAGTGGTTTATACCTTTGTGTGGTTAATGGTACTACCAACCGCGTTCTTGTCAATTGCATTTGGGGTGGGGATGAGGACAACAATCAATCTCACTTTTATCAGCAAATTCTGAGTTTTCTACCTGCATTAAGATATTCACTAAGATGGAAACAATGGTAATTATTAAATGTAAGGTCAAGTTTAAAGTAAAATGCCTGCTTCTGCATGCAACAACTGGGATAGCTAGTGCTATAAATATAGATTACAGGCTTCACATTTTTAAACTTGTTTCCTATCATGTTACTCTTCGTACAGTATTGGTCAAGTTAAAATGCCTAAAACAAGTCTGATTAGCACATCAGAGCACCTACAATAATTTTTGGTTTGCTAAATTAGTATTTTGCTTGCCACAAATACTGGCATTTATGCCGGCTATATTTTATTGATATGAATCTAGCTGGAAAATGGATAGAGTTGATCACATTTTCTGCTTTTCCATTAACATTTTGTTTTGATGAAAGTGTTCCAGTGAGGTCTACTGAAGCCTCATTTGTCAGAATTAAATTGTTTTTAAGTATTTACCAGCATTGATCCCTGGGACATCTCTATGTCCAGCAGGGTTATTACCTTTCACATGAGATTCTCACAACCTAACCAAATGTTTTCTAGTGAATTATTAAAACATGAAATGCATTTAACTTTTATACTAATCCCTCTCATAGTCTCACCACCTCACATCTGAGAGACAATATTCAAATGCTGGATTACTGACCTGCTTTTAGAATATTACCACAAATTTGCCAAAGTAATCCCCATCTGCATTAACCGCTTAGCGTATCCCAACTCATCCACACACTCACATTAAACTTAAATGCTTACAGGGAAAAAAAAGTCTTTAGTGATTATCCTTTTATTATTATTACAACTTTTTGCAGGATATCCAACCCTTATATTCTGTTGTCACATCAAACAGTGAGTCATTTAGATCTTTTAAACTTCATAATCTTATCCCCTTTGGAGCCTGAGCTACCATAGAATCGTAGAATATCAGGGTTGGAAGGGACCTCAGGAGGTCATCTAGTCCAACCCCCTGCTCAAAGCAGGACCAATCCCCAACTAAATCATCCAGATGGTCCCAAAGACATGCACAGTTAACTATTTTCCAGCTTAAGTTACACCTTGACTAACATATCAGCAAATGCTACTTGCAGTTTTCTGAGGAATATTTCACATAAGATGCCAAGTACAGTAGGCTGAAACGCGTGGCAGGAGAAGCTGTTTCCTGAGTTGCTAACCTGCTTCTTCATTGAGAGAGACCTACCTGCTGGGATATTGTAGCTGGAGCCCTTCGAGCTTACTCCAAGTCAGTCCCTTACTCAGTGGTCAGCTGGAGAGTGTGGTGTGAACTGCCCCCTGGCTGCCTTTAAATAATGAAGCTGCAAAGTCACTAATTGGTTATTTTCGCTGGTGTGCCTGAATAAGACCTTTAATCTTGGATAATCCATTATGTAAAAACCAAGTGTAATCCTCACAGTGGTGTGTCTGCCTGCTTCACTAATACAAACAGAGCTTTTCCATAATGGAAAAAGAAGGCCAGAGGGCTAATAGGTCTGGGGAAGCAAGAGTAAGGACATCTCTGTCACATTCCACTGCCTGCCTCTTTATCATGTGTTGGGGGGAAAACATGGACAGTTAGTTAATCAATCAGCAGACATGCGAATATGCACATGCCCCCAGTTATAGTCACTCACTCACTGGGGGTGAATATAATATCATTAATATTTCCAATAGATGTGATGTGTCATCGGCTAAGACCCAAAACGACGAGTATAAAAATGAGGACTTTGCCCCAGGAGACTCACCATGTCTGTGTCCAAGTCCTGGAGTCCCCCAGTTTTCCTCCACATGGAAACACTCCAAACACACACTATTCCCAGGTCTTGCATCTGAAGAAGTGAGGTTCTTACCCACGAAAGCTTATGCTCCCAATACTTCTGTTAGTCTTAAAGGTGCCACAGGACCCTCTGTTGCTATTCCCAGGTTGTTACACCAAGACCCCAGAGCATTTGCAATGATGCCAATTCCACCTCTCTTTTCTCCTCACTCCGTGGCCCTATTAAAACCTTTCACCCCTTGGTGCTATGCTTCACAGCAACTCAAACTAAGATGAAGTCAGAAGCTGCTTGAAAAAAAATGATTTGTACCAATTTGTGTCCTCCTCAGCCTTATTCTCTCTTGCAGCCTCTTGTAGTTCCCACCTGCGTATCATGGGTGACCTGCTGCTTCCCATAGGTGGATGCTGATTTCAGGTGGAGGATATTACACCCTTCCATGGGTCAGCGCTGATGTGGGCCTCTCCGCATTTTCATGGGCTGCTGCAGCGATGAGCTTTTCAGGGGTTCGGAGCTGTGGGGGAGGGAGCTTTGGCTTTTGTAGTTTGTTAGGGGCACCTAGAGCAATGGACAGGTGCCCCTTTATGTACTGAAGTAAAGAGAATGAGCCTGTGGATCTTCCCTAGCTGTACATTGCAACTACGGAGGTCTGGCCTCAAGGTCTGTGCCCAGTACTGCACAATTACGCGGGGGGTACAACTGCAGCCCTTGCTCCTTTGAGCACAAAGGTTGCTCTCTCCTCGCTGCTGCAAGGCACCTCAAAGGCGCCAGGGAACACACGGGGGTATGGCCCTGTGCAGCCTTCCCAGCCATCAGAGCGACCGACTACAGAGACGAGGGCACAGTCTACATCCTAAGCCATGATTCAGTGAGCTGCATGCAGCGGCATTCTGCTGTGCCTTGCTGCAGGACAACCCATCCCAGAGCTCTCCCTGTTTCCACAGAGCTCTGCCCGCACTGGTAACAAGTCACTTGGGAGAGATGGTGGCACTTCAACACTGGCCCACGTTAGAGAGTTTGGGGAGTACAATGGCTCCCAGAGCTCCACAAAGGCCAGTGGGAGGAATGCCTACTTCAACCTCTTAGGGTCCCTTAGTGCTTCAGTCCTGCTTCCCCTCCGCACCCTTCAGCCAGGCTTTTGCCCATGGGGCACTACAAAGGAGCAGCCCCTGGATCTGGGGTGCACAGATACTAGTTGTGCCCAGCTGCTGTGTAAAATTCCTGTGCCTGCCACACCATCTCCATTTGCATCGACGGTGCCCCTTCATTGGGGCATGTTTTTCAGTAGGCAAGGTGGTCCAATGGAAAATGCATTAGACTAGGAGTCAGAAGTCCTGGCTCTGGCACAGATGTGCCAGGTAACCTTGGGCAAGCTCCTTCACCTCCATGCCTGCATTTCCCTTCTTGCCCTTTGTAATCGCTGTTGGGCAGGGACTACCTTGCTGTTTGTACAGCACCTCCCACAGCGAGCACCCCCTGACACCACCTTATTCGAGGCCTTAAAAGCACCACTTTAATTCGGGCACTGTTCTAAACCTTTGCCTGTTTTCCAGCAAGAGACCAAATGGTTGTTCTCAGAGCTAATCCTTCAGCCATTACACTTAGGGATAAAAGGTCACAGTGGGTACCAGATCTTGGAGCTCAGCAGTGACCCTGGAGAGAACACACATAGCTACTTCTTCCACGCCAGACAGAGTGTCAAGATAACGAGCTCCGTTAATTCAGGCACAAGGCATTATCTAAAACACCATAAACAAATCCTTGTTCTCAGCTATTTGGTCAACTTCTTGGGAATGTGAAACATGTATATGTAGTGGAAAGGAAATGTTTAGTCAATAAGTGTCCATATAGTAACATGGGGCTTCTTAAAAAAAAAGGCTTTTCATCAATTGGAGCAGTTAACTGTTCTTTGCAACGCAAAGGTATTATGTAACCAGAAGGTTATTTAGCAGTAAAAGAACGGTCACCTGAAACAAATACACAACCCAATAATTATGTTTTCTTCTAATACAAATAAAGTGGCTATTTCAGGACAAGTGAGTCTGGAGTATTTTCTGTAAATTAGAAGCATTTGTAAAGAACGTACCACTTAGGCCGTGTTTGCCAACCGAACCGATTAGTGTAGGTCCCTGCCAGACACGTGAAGCCATACTTATGTGATATGTAATCCCATTGGCTTTATAGCCATGCTACTAATAGCTAATTACAACACAAGCTTTTGGTCTGTTGCGGTAACATCTGTCACTGCGCTATGTACAGTTTGCAGCAAGGACATGTGTTTTGTTGGTATATTGTCTTCCAACCGCATCAAGGTGGTTCAGAAAAAGAAAGGACTCCAGAGAAGTGTCAAGATAAACGTTTCTAACTCACCAATGCACCGACCACTGCTGTCCAGTTTAATCTTGAATAGGATCAGTCCCGGCAAAAGCATTATCTGCAAAAGGAGCTGAATGAAGGACGTGACTGCAGAACCCAGAGCATGTGGGGCCAGGGGAGAGGGGGCTAATGTAGACCCCTGCATATGCCTTTATCGGAACAAGTGTTAGATAAACTGCTCTAGGATTTACTGGGATTGTTCTGCCTGCTCAGATTTAGCAACATGTGCTAGGTCAGCAGTGGAAGGCACAGTATGGGGTCCCTAAATCGGCTCCTCTGTCAGGCACTGAACTCCCTTTCCCCCCTCCCCCCGCAGTCCCCCCGGCTAGCCATCAGATGGTGCGTTTGTTCGCCCGGGTCTGTGAAAGCAACTAAATATAGAAGCATTGTGAGTTGCCCTTGACAAATATTGTGGCGGTTATTGTACATTGGGATGAGAGGATTTCCTGCCTCAGCTTTAGCTTATCTAGATCTAATTCATATTCTTAAAGGGACTGGAATAAAGGCTGCAGTTAAGACACCAGGCCTGGGCATCAGGAGCAGGGCCGGCTCCAGGGTTTTGGCCGCCCCAAGCAGCCAAAAAAAAAAAAA